AATTCTGTCATTTTACCTCTTCCTTTATTGAAGTGCTCAAACTGGTCATCGATATCACAGCCGTCTTTCTCTACCTTATTTTTTATTTTTATCCAATTTGTTCTAATAGAAGAGAAAACAACAATTGGCTCTTACTGTTCGTCACTGAGTTGTTGTAATGACAGTTTCCACCCAGTCAGCAGTTCTTGTATGGAAAACCTCAAGATTAAACAAAGGAGGAACTTAAACATTTGCATCTGAAAAAAGCCTGTTCTTACGAGCCTGTGCATTTGAAACAAGCCTGTGCTTTTTCTGCATGTGTCAATTTCGAATGCCGCCATCTTCCCATTTTTTTCCTTTTCTTTTTTTCATGTCCTTCCAAATTTATGGTTTTCCTAGGCTTCACTACTCTTTTATATCTCTAAAGTTTAAGTGCTTCCATTTGGAGAGGTAGCTTATAGAAGGCTAAAAGTTACAATGTCCAGAATGAGGTGATAATTTTCAGTACATATACATCTTCAAACGGCTGAAGTATTGTCAAGAGCGCTTGATAAGAAAACGGATGACATGGTAATTCCTTCGGAAGACTTCATGGTCATTAGCAAGCTAACCACCAGATCATGCAGCACTGACCAGAGCAACTGGAAAAGTTGCCAGCTGCTCAGCTGAAAACGCTAAGAGCTGCAGCCTGTTCATATTTTCAAACATTTGGTCAATTTCCAGTTTACGTCAATCAGTTCAATTACTTAAAGACGTGCAATGTTAATAAACACTAACATTATCAAGGTCAGCGAATAATTCATGTACAACAATGCCTTGCAAAGCAAGAGATAGTAGTAGCTCGTCACGCTCATCAATACCCGTTAAAGTTTGATATCCGCGATCTCGCCTGAAAACATTTTGTTCATAACAAAATTTGTATCTTTAGTTTCCCTTACAACACTAATCTTACTCCTACCCCTATAAATCAAGGTATTTTTGTGGAAAAAGAAAAATCGCATTTCTTTTGGCTTTTATTCTTTTTGAAGACGAATACAGCGCGATTAATATATTTCACCAATTTTAATGATCGAAGAGTTGCTTGTACATGCGTTGCCTCTGTGGTACTGCAGTGCCTCATTTGTTTATTCA